GCCAGTTTATTTGGTGCAGCTACTCATTGGAGAGAGGAACACACACAGTGCAGGTGAGGACATTTGTCATCATTATAAACTACACACAATGGAAACGACGCCAACTGTACTATATGAAGTGAAAACCTGCACAGTTACAGTTTCAGTGATGAAACGTCTCAGGACAATAACTGACCTCGTTTCTATCAGCGAGTTAAAACTGCAGGATTGTTCGTCGAGGTTTAAAGCGAGCCGGGATGATCCGGAATAACACGAGAGCTTAGATTTGATGGGCAGATTAATCCAGGTTCATGTTTAATGAGGTAACTTTCCGTGTGCTGCAGCCGGGGGTTACTTCAGCAGCAGCATGGAGATACTTGCTCAGTGATAACATTTTGTTGTGCCATAGTCCACTTTCACCTTCAGTGTTTTTCTCATCCGTGCGATGCATTCATGGGATTCACGTAATGGTAATGGTTAATGTTATATCACATAGAAGAAAGGAGACATCGACTGAAGGTTAAAGGTGATGATGCTGATTAGATTTGCTCACCAGTTTCTTGCTTTAAAGTGTGGAGGTGTTGGAAATCAGCCGTATATCTCATCACACGTCTGCTTATATCCTGTTAAATTCAGTCGTCTGAACCCACAAAGAGCATCACATAGTACTTAGCTTAGCTATTAATCGAGTGCTCGATCAGTGTTTAAATCCACAAGTACTCACAGACCATATATGAAGAGTTTGGCCAATGAAAACAGTCTTTCTCTACGTGGGCTAAGCCTGTTTTCAGAGAGTCTGCTGGTCAGTTATACAGAACAAGTCTGTAGGAAAACAGCGCTCAGGTCCACTGATCTGTGACCTCAGAAAACATCAGGGGCGTCCACCTCCAGGCCTCGAGGGCCGCTGCCCTGCAGGTTGATCCAACACAGCTGATTTAAATGGCTAAATGACCTCAACATGTGACCCAGGGTGAATCTAAACCCTGCAGGACACCGGCCCTCGAGGCCTGGAGCTGGACACCCCTGCTGCAGACACTCACGAGTACGTCTCTCCTGACATCTGTAATTACTATAATTATTAACCTGTAGCCACTGATTTTTCAGTCCAGGTATTGTGTGATGTGTCATACCTGAGCGTTTTCTCCCACCTTTTCCTTTCCTTGTGAACGGCGTCTTGAAGCCACCCTCCCACTGAGACCAGCTGAGGTTTCAGTCAATAGCAGAAAGGCCAACTGAAGGGTCAGATGTGTCTTTTGAACCATGCCGAGTTTGAAGCTATTTACTTTTTCACCTTGTTGCTCCAATTTCATGCTGTCGAATTGTGTAATCATTGACATTTTTCATAGATTCAACAAAATAAAATAGAACAATTATTTGTTTTTACAACGGGCTCACTAAACTACCTACAGATAGTTTCAAATTGGCTCTTTGTTAAGTCGTCTGTTAGACTGAATCACAAAACTGGTTATTACTTTGATTTAAGTGACTTTTTTATGCTTGATTGACTCATATATGGTGTTCAGTGTTTCAACAAACACGTAAAAAAGGAAAAAACACACTTTGTATAACTGAGTCTTTCCATACCGTACTCTACAGCCTGTATTTAACGCATGGTCTTTGCCTTTGAATTTGAACCTCCTAGGACCTGATGCCCACACATGTGGACACCATATTTTGGGCTGTCCAGACAAAAATACTAAACTTTGCTCTGCTGCCATTGTTCTATTGAAATGTAAAACCTTCATATGTGGATTTTATTTATTTTTTCAGAAGCAAAAATCTGGCAATTCTTTGTTTTTACATTCATCAGGTCCCCATCAGCCCAAATAGCAAAGAGAAATTAAAAAGCCATGAAAGAGTTCAGGTCCAAGGAGGTTGAATCAGGAGGGTCTAATCGTGACTCTGTAGTTGTAATTTTGTAAATATAAAAGTAGAGTACATATAGGTGCACATCCTGATTATTTCCGTGCTTTTGCTGCATATGAACATATTTAGATTTTGTTTTACCTTCTCATCTGATCTGAACGTCCTGCAGCCACGGAAACACCCGCTGAGCCTCCACAGCGTAAGTAAGATTTAAAAACACACGAATCTTGTTGCCAGAGGTTGATGTCATTAGTCTGATCTGTGTAAATTCATTCAACAGTTCTGATGGATGTGAGAGGAAATGCATTTTTCTTTGACTGTAGCACCAGCTGACTCTCTCTATAAACCATATTAATAACCCTACTCGTCAGAAGCATTTCCTGTTCTTTCATAAAACCATATTAAATGTATATACGTCTTATTCTACATGCTGAATGTCGCCACTTGGATGTTCTTCTGTTATACAGACAATAGTAACGCTGTCATCACTGTTATCTGTGCCTTCATCACGTCTTCGGCCCTGGTTGTTGGAGTCACACGATCGACCATCTGAAATGCATCAAGTCCAGAAACTAAACAGCCACAGACGCTTAACAGAAGACAGACGAGTGTGATGGAGCCGATCCACGTGTCGTATACTTTCAGTTCATAAATAATAATGACCTTTTTTTCCTTTTTAATTCTGACATCATGCTGTAATTCTTTTTATGCTTTTTATAAGCAGAAAAATTAAATACTAGCTTCTATTAAATAAAAGCAAAAGTAAACATGGAAGTGTAGCAGAGGGTCTAAATACCTTTAGAGGAAATGATTTGTTAACATTTTATTTTTGGGCTTTTACATCTGAAACTATTCTGTAGAAAAACTTCAACGCAGTGGACGACATCAAAGCTTCTTTTACAGCAAACTTGATACTTGTTACATGTTGTTACATTTATACGGTGATTTCCTGTTTGTAATAAAACTTGTGTAAAAATTTCTTATAACATGAAGCTATTCTATCAGTAAATAACACTGAAATGACATCAGTGAGTTCAGTTTTCAGGATGAGCCTAATTTATCTGCACAGATGACGAGTTGAGCTGAATTGAACAAATATGAGGAACGAAAGTTTCCTGAAGTACAAACCAATGAAAGCTACAACTTACCTTTAAGCTGGAACACTGTGGTATCCTTACAAGGGAAATATTCCAGTTCTTACTTTGAAATGAAGTAAAAAGGACCAGTTTTACTATCCAGGCCCCTAAAACCCGAAATTAAAACCAGGGTCTCAAACTTACATGAGCTGCTGACACCGCAGTCTCATTGGACGGTCGCTTTAGTGTTCAAGTAGTACAAAAAACAAGAAAACACAGAAATATTTCAGAAAATGTTTTTGTAACATTTCAAATATCTCTTTAAGAACTTATTTATGGGCCACAAGTAGGAGTGTCATGTGCCACAAGTGGCCCCCGGGCCGCATGTTTGAGCCCTGTGACCTGTAGCTCTGCTTGTGTTTTTGCAGAGAAAGCATGTTTGTCACAATCGAAACCTTCTCCAAGAAAAACAAGACAAAAGGAAGAAAAATGAAATTTGAAAGCTTTATTACATCGAGTTTGCATACAAGGCGTGTCACGGGTATGTTTCTGACATGAAATGTTCAGAAAACTAACAAAACAATAAATATCAATTACCAGTACTTTGCATGGTGGCCGACACCTGGACTCGTCAATACTATGCTGAGGAGGACACGGAAAATAAACAGGGCAAAGCTAAAAGAGGCGCAGTGGAGCGCCGTGATGCGTCGCATCAAGACAACACGAGCGCCGTGCGAGGACCAACAGAAGAAACTTCTTTGTTTCTGCGTATTAACATTCGTTCCACATCTGCGGCGCTCTGCTGCTGTTAGAAACGCACTTTAACATAAATGATCAGGTGCCTTAATTAGATATGCTTCACAGAAAAAGCATAAAAGGCCCTAAAACACTGAGCGCAGGAATTCTGTATAGCATCAAAGCAAAATATTTAATAAAAACAGTGCCACAGCTCCTTTAAAAACTCTAAAATACTGCAATGTTTTGGTGCTACACAGACTGCAGGTGAAGATGAGGAAAATTTAAGAGAATCACTGAGCAGAAACACTTTTATCGCCATGGGAACGTAAAACAACGAAGGAACAAAATCTAGGACGACTGCAAACACAAACTGCAAACACTGCGTTTGCAAGTATCAGACAAATAACTGCAACATTTTCCGTGAACACACAATAACCTGCGCCGTCTCGGACCTGGAAGCTCGGACTTCGTAACACAAGGATGTTGATAAAAACAAACATTAAAAACAGGACGTGTGAGTTCACAGAGTCTGACGCTAACGTGTAAGACACTGAAATAAAGCAGGATCGAACCTCGTTTACAGGCTACACCTTCGCTGTACCGTCGCTGTTAAGTAAACCACTTCCTGTTTCTAATTAAGTCGTCTCCCTCTAAAGGCACAAACGGATCATTTTAATGGTTCCTTTGTTATTCTTTGGTGTTTATTTCCAGGTACAGTACGACTAAATGTTTCCCCCTCAGTACAAATCTTTGGTAAAGCCTAGAAATCATAAAGATGCTCTCCCACATATAAACCGTTTCCTCTCCTCTGATTGGCTGTTACCTGTGCTGTACTTTTAGCATGGATCAGTAACTTCTCACTTGTTACATTGTTACATCAAAGACACACACACTGCAACATTAACAGTTTTGTGTAGCTAATCTACGTTCCTGATGGCTCGGACACAAACGAAACTGCAGCTCATCTCTCGTCAGTTCAATCATGGAGGGAAGCGCGTTGGTATCGTGAGGAAGTGAACGTCAACACTGCTGCTGTTACGGTTTCTTCACCTGCTCGGCTGTCAGAAAAGACACACTGTGATATTTTCAAAGACAATACATGGGCGTCACAATGACTTACATTCAAAGTGTTGCGGAGACATTTGCTCGTGTCCCCCCAGCACAGCTGTAGTCGACCCTCTAAACGATCCTTCCTTTTCTAATACATTCATTAGACATGATCACCCTGCCAGCCTTAAAGTACCAGGGTAAAAAGTGCAACACAACAACACTTCAACCGTAATTAGACTCTGCAGAGCTGCTGTCAATGAGCGAACGTCTCTTCGCTCCGTTTTTAGACACTAATTTTATTTTTTTGTGCCATCTGAGGCGACTGTAGGTCATCGAGAGCTTTCGAGGTCAAATTTAATGATATTTTGCGCTGATCGACTGTTGATGAATACTGAACATTGCGCCCTCTGCTTTAGCAGTACGTATACTGAGAAACAGTCTGACGTGAGCAGGATGACGTGTTTGAAAGCCATAGCGACACGTCGGTGAGATACAACACACATTAAAGTCTAGGAAAGGAGCTGCACTGGTAATATAATATATTCTTTACTCGAGGGGAGGAAAGGTTACAGACTGAACGAGCACTCTGAAAATTAAAAAAACGTGTTACTATTGATGACAAGAAACTGGAGCAAGTTTTCTATTAATGAAGACGGACGAGTCCAGCTTGAAAAGCAAGAAGGTCGTGGAGTTCTGCAAGGCATCGTGTGCGTAACTCTGGGCTTAGCTGCCCTGCGTCATGCTCTGCATGTGTTTGGCAATGTCATACACGTAGGTGATGTCCGGCCTCTTCTCCGGGTCCGGGTTGATGCACATATCTACCACTTTCCTCAGCTGGCGGCGCAGAAAGAAGAGAAACATCGTCAGAGATGCAGTGAAACAAGAGCAGAGAAATGTAACAGTTGCTAACAGCGCCCTCTAGGTGACCTCTCCCGTCATAGCAACAACAACAGAGCAACAGGTAAGCCGACTGAGACGGAGGCGCGTGGCTGGGGTAGCGCGCTAATCATTTATTGGTCTGCTGAATCCACTTTTACCTGAGCACACCCCCCATATGCACGCACACGCACACAGCTGCCACTCCGCTGCCATCCGGAGACAGCGCTTCCACTTGAAGCGGCGCGCGGTGGCTGATTGGAGCAGATAGACAGGCTCGCAGGCGGAACAGCCACCGCCATCATTAAAAAAAAAAAAGATAATAAAAGACGAGGAAAGAAAGGGGGGAAAAAAACATCTACATGAGGTCGCTATGGTAACCGTCTGCCGACTTCCCGGCCGCTGTTGCGCGGCGCGCGGGCTCGGCCGAGTTTTGTGTATCGGCGCGCGTGTGCGTGCGAGCGAGAAAGTGAGGCGAAGATGCAAATTCAGACAGTCTGAGAATTAGTCGCACAGAATGGAGATGGGGAGGGCGCCGAGATGCAGATATGTAAAATATTCATGCGCGTGTGGGGGGGGAGGCGGCGCTGGTGGAGGGAGGCGTGCGTGTGGTGGGGGGAGCGTAGATGGAGATGGTTAAATGACACAACAAAGATGAGCAGCTGACAGTTTGCTGCCGATCCTTCAGGAGCATTGTTTACATCCAGACAGGCGCTGCAGGCACCCCCCTCATCTCCATCTCTCCATCGCCCTGTCTCTCGCTCCATCATTCCCTCTCTCCTGCGCTTTGTCTTCCTTTCTCCTGGATGGGGGTGACATGTGGGGCAACGCAGAGGCTCAGCGTGGCGCTCGTGTGTGCGTGGAAGGAGCTCGTGTAACAAATATACACTTGCAAGAACTAAAACACACACAGAGCAACCGCAGAGGCTTAAAACACCTCACAATTAGCCTTTATCAGGCTAATGAGGTAAATACCAGAGTCAAACAAAAGCCTCTCTCTGCAGGGTGAACGAGCTCACTGGAGACACGAGCAGACATTTAAAATGAGGCGCTGCAGACGCACCGGCTACAGATCGGCGTGCTTTAAAGTCAAACCTGACCGTGATGGTTCATACTGGGTTTATTAAATATATCTGAACTGGAAACTCAAACCTAAACCACAAGCTTAGCTGTGGGGTGATGTCATTCTGCAGTCGTTTTAACAGCGCCGGGCCTCAAACATGATAAAGTGGCGTTCTTGACTTTAATCAGATACGAGGCGACTTTTTTTAAACAGTGCAAATCTAATAAATGCGCCAATAACCGAAAAAAGGTTCCAATACCTGCATGTGCGCGTACACCTGTGACTCAGAGCGTGAGCATTTCATTTAAAAGAAACAGACGGGGGAACGCCACCCACGCAGAGGGCACGCACGCAGAAAAACACGCAGATTCATGCACACGTCAGCGCTAATCAGCGATCAGGTGATCTTTAACCGCAGCCCGGCGCACGGATCGGTCTTCGCAGAATTACGGCAGACGATTTAACGTTAACTGAGGGAAACGCGACACTCCAGTTTCGCCCCACCGTCGAGCGCGGCCAGATGCTTTTGATACGCGCGGCTAAAATCGTATCCAGCCTTCTGATCACGGTCCTGCGCTGCAGCTCAGGCAGACGGGTGGATTTCACCATAAAATATCATTTAAGTGTTTGATAAGTAAAAGCAAAGTGGCATGAAGAGAAAGAGACAGGGATTTGTTTAAAGACTATGGCGGCTGCTTTACAAACACTGAACAAGTCTATATTTACTCTGTTCCTGAGAAGTAAAAGGCAGCTGATACGAGTACTTACCTCCTCTGAATAGTGATCTGAGGGAAGAGGGGGGTAGTCACACTGTTCTATCTTCTTACAAAGTGAGTAGAGGTTCATCTTATCCCCATAGAACGGACTCTGTAAGGCTGCCATCTGAAGCACAGACATAAGAAGACGTGGAGAGAGACAGAAAGTGGGAAGAAGACGAGAGCAGTCAGTGAGTGAAGTTAAAACGGGAAGTAAAACCCAATCAAGCTCTCAACAGGTGGCAGGCAGACACTCTGCACCCTGTGCTAACAGAGTCTGCAGCTCTGCTACTGACGTGCATCCTATTGATTATTACGGGGATTGGGTGCAGGAGAAAATAAAGGAAGACAACAAGTCAATATGTAGAGCTTTGTGTACATATCAGCACAACTTCAGCCGAACCAAAACAAAACAAATCCACCGGAAGCTTCTCGCTGCAGGCTGGTGGACTTTCCCGCGATGCTGACGCTGCCAGACGAGCACGTCTATTTTCTAGAAAACAGACGCGAGCGAGCAGAGCAGAGGCAGGGCAAATGGGAACGAGCAGGAAGACGGGAAAGCGTGGAAACCTTTGTTTGTGAGTGGAAGGAGGTGAAGGATCCTCGCTGCCTTTCTAAGAATAATGAAAGACGCACGCCATCTTTCCCAGACTCGGTGACTGACTCACTTCCTCTTGTAGAAAGGTGAAGCCTGCAGCACACTTGCATAACAAGCAGCCGCCAAATGCTTACTGCTTTTCTGATTCAGTGCTTTCACAAACAAGCAGCGTGTAAGTGCTCGGTCATTATCACTGCGATGTGTGAGAAAGTGCTCAGAGCTTCCTTTGTATTCACCAAAACAACATTAAATAGGAAATTGTGAGTTGCAGTAAGAGTGCAATCAGAGTCGAATCACTCCTGGGTGATCTCATGATCTCTACGGTCTATTTGTGAGAAACATTTGTTTGCTATCTGCAGGCTGACGATCGTGTGTCTGTAACAAAACTAGTGACCGGTACGTGAGCTTGTTCCAAACTTCAGAAAAGCAGCTGGAAAGAAGAGCGAGCCAATCAGTGGGAAGATTGCACTTTACTATTTGAAGCGTTGCTCAGGTGTCCCTTGGAGAAAGTACAGTGTGTGTTTGACAATCTGCTAATTGGTAGCGTGAAAACAGATGAGAACAAAGTCTCCATACGTGAATCCAAATGCAAAGCTTCCACAGAGTACAGCAGGTTAGTGAGAATAAACCACCTTCAGCAAGCTGCAGAGGAAAATGTGTCTGTGTGAATCGGACCGACAAAGAAAAAGGAGGAAGTGTTTGAGGTAAAAGAATAAAGAGGCCATCTAGTGTCACACACAAACTCGTTGGATTATTTCAGCTTCCTCACAGACTATTTTTCTGTCTTCATCAGCTAACACGTACAGTCGAGCGCTGCAGAGACAAGGAAACAGTTGTGCCTGGTGTGCTGGTGTTTCTAATGCACCGGTAAAAAGTAGCTGGCTTAATCGTGGCTGCCTTCAATGAAACCAGAAGCCAGATCTCGGCTGTCCGAGCCCGCGGAGGGAAATCAAGACGACAGCAGCAGCGTTTACAATCATGTTAATTATTACATGAATACTGTTCATCAGGGCTGGGCTATATTAACGTTCACGGTAATGTTGGGCAACGATAAGAAAATGAAATATTGCGATAGAATATGGGTAAAACACGCAGTGCCTTTGTTTACATACGCACATGGCGGAAAAAGCATGGCGGCGACGGAGAATAAGAAGGGCGAGAGCGGATCGTTAAATGAAACAGATGAAGCAGAACTGGTTTGTAAAAATGCTGCAGCTTCACTGGTGGAACTGGTTTAGCTTTCGTCCGTCAGATACACAACAAAGCACTATTTTTAGTAGCGCATGCTAGCGGGCCGTCGTTATTACCGTGTTGTTTGGAAAATACGGCGCACTTAAAATCAATCCTTTGATTTTTCTGAAAGTCGACAGAGCCCCTTATAATCCCGTGTGCCTTATGTATGAACTCTGGTTGTGTTTACTGACCTCGAAACGATTTTATGTTCACGGCGCTCGAAAATCTGTCAGATGTTTCAGTACGACTTTGCTAAGCTACGAAGCCGCACCGCTTGATGGAGGCGGAGCCTGTCAATTATATCGTCAGTTATATCGTTATTGCAAATTTTCAAATGTATATCGTGATAAATATTTTTGGTCATATCGCCCTGCTCTACTGTTCAACACATCCAGTGAAAGAGAATCTCCCTCTGTTGTCTGTGAACACCTCTCTGCCTCGACTGCAAGACCAGCAGCTGACAGTGCTGAATATTCATGCACGTCATCAATGATGCACTTCTGTTATTAGCAAAGTCACAATTTAAAACCTGATCCTGTCGTTACCAAGGCGAGCAGAAGCAGCCATGTGCACACTCACAGCACGACTGAAGGATGCTAAACAGCTGATGGTTAGCACACACGTGGACTCAACAAAAACAAGTAATACTGGTGAACGTTTGCACAAAAGCGCACACACACACACACACACACACCGTACTACATTTAAAAAACCATTAACACAGGTGGCAACAAGTTAAGGTATCATTATTCCAACATGTTAATTACTCAGAGTGCTACTGCTATGGACCCTTATTTAACATGCGTTTCCATAGACAACAGCTCACTACCTGCAATTAAATGACCATCTAATTAGTCATTCATTGCAGCTTGTAAATAAATCATCTGCCCAGCAAAGCTGCTGAACCTATGAGTCATTTGCCACCGAGGTCAGTGGACATCTCGCCCTTTCATTTCAGAATCCAATCACTTCTGAATAACCACAGTCGATACTTGAAAATGCCAAAGCTCGCCGTGTTAGGCGCTCTGCTCATTCCCATGTTAAAAAACAACAACAAGACAAAAACAGAAAAGAAAATACAAAGATCATCATCATCATCATTTCTCGATTCATTTCTAAAAATACACATTTCTGTCCAAGTTCAGGTTTTATATTTTGAGGTATCCATGTAAGAATTAGCGGTTTCCAGAAATCCAGATTCCCCAATTAGCGAGTGAGACTGAGGGAGAGAAAGGAGAAAAAGAAAAGCTGCACACGGCAGCGTGTGAAGGGTTAAACAAGACCCCGTCGTATTTTCATGCATCTTCTGCTTTTGACAGATGAAAAATGTCAACTGTCCTGTTTGTATTTGGGAGTTTTTGCACTATTCATCTGCTTCATTAGTGCCTGCTGCTCCTAGCCCCTGACAGCTGCCGGCCCCCTGCTCACACACACACACACACACACACACACACACCATAAAGATGCATACCCACACACACACACAAACACACACTCACTCCTTTTTTCAGACTGTGTCGTCGCAACGGTTTAGATGATTGACTCACTCCCTGACCCCTGAGCCCCCGGTGTGTGTGCGCGATTGTGTGTGTGTGTGTGCATGCTTCATTGATATTCGAGAGACACACAATGCACACGCATGCCTGCTGTCTGTCTGAGGGCTGTGAGCTGCTGGTGGCAGAACACACGCACACGTAGGTTTGTGCTTCTATATTTGTGAGGACCCTCGCTGACACCAGCCCCTCGTCCTGAAATGTAACTTCACGGGGAAACCCCAATGCAAACCACCACCTTAACACCACCTTAGCTGATTTATATCCTAACTCTAAACCAACTCGTAACCCTCGAGCAGCTGTTTCAAAGTCCATCATAAAGTAATGACAGAATAGCCTCACGTCAAACGTTCCCACTCTGCGTTAGGCCGGGTCATGTATAGGTAGCATCCCTCCCTAAAAGGTCTGCATAGGGCCTTCCAGTTTAATTAACATTGATCTCACACGCTCGCTCTCCAGCTCCTCTCCCTGTACGCCAATTAAAGGAGCTGCGTGAGACTCCCGCCTCCCCCCTCCCGACCACCTTCATCCCTCGAGCCTTTACGGCCTGAGACTCAAGAGCTCCTCACAAATCCTCAGTTATAAATAAAAATACACATCGAACCGTAAACGTATCAAAATAAAAACTAGATTTGTGTTTTCATCCTCTCTCTTTCTCACATATGCACCTACACGCCTGCAGCACTAGTTTGGTTTCACATCACAACGTCAGGCCTGCCTTTAGACACAGAGTGTGTGTGTGTGTGTGTGTGTGTGTGTGATCGACTGCCTAATTAAAATCTACAAATAATATTTTGTTAATAAAGTTTGACAGATAAGCAGGAAGAGACACTTTTATTCAGGCTTCACTCGCAGCTGGAGAGCAAACGAGGA